TGCGCGGCACCGCCCACACAGCGCCCGGCGGTGGGACAGCGCGTCCCTGGGCTCCGGGCGCCTGAACCTGTCTCCGCGACCCTCTTCCTGCTCGCTCGCCGCCTCGCTCGTCTCCCACCGTTCTTCTTCTTAAGCACAAAATAATATTCTTCAAGGGAGACTTTCGAATGTTGCTGCGAGGGAAAATGCGACCAACTGTGACGGTTCAGACCTGACTAGCCAGGATGAGAGGATAACCAAGGTTCTTTTCCCGTTGCTGCCCCCGCTTCAGACGGGGCGGGAGGATAGAGAAAATGGAAACACTCCGTCCCGTCCTAATAAGAAAACGTGCCCCGGTGAAAGGGGTTAGCAGAAAGGAGAAGCTAAAATTGTCAGGGAATGATCGAGAGTTTACTATTATGTTTGCAGACTTGTCAAAACTTCTTTCGACAATGTATTATATTGGCGATTCCAGTCTTGAAATTTTCCTCTTCACCTAGACTCTACACCTCCTCTTTACAGAGAGTGAAATTAGCAGCCAAACTTCCAAGCGAAGTACTAAACCTGCCTTGTCTTTGATTAGACATGAGCTGGAGTGATGATAGTCTTTACTTTTCCATTCCTCCTTAGCCTCCCATCCAAATTGTGTAAGATTTCTGGCCACAACTGCCAGACAGCAGAGGAGACTGAGCTCCCTACATCCAAGCAATGTCAGGGAGCATCATTATCAAAGGCTGTAAATGCTAGGTCTCCATTTTGTAAAAAAGTAAAATCCTAAGTCACATTCTTACCTGGCAGGAATCCTTCCTTCCACTTACCATTCCTATTTTGCCCACGTGGCAAACGGTAGGTGAGTGTCAGTGTGTGCTTGCTACAGAAATAGAGGGAGAAATGATTCAGTTTTGTATTTCTCAGAGAGAAAGGCAAACAGTCCTGGCCTTTGGTCTGCCTGTTGGAATGAACGGATTGGTAACCAGGAAAAAGCTGTGGACAATTCCTTGGAAAATCAAAGGCTTTCTTTGGGAATAGGTTTTAAAGGTTGAGTGATCATTTGCCTAGATGGCACACTGGTTGCACCACCCGAAATTTCACAATTACAGAGTCATTGTTTTCTGAATGTTGAGAGATGGAGAGAGGATTGAGTGCTAAATGTATTCACATTTGATTGTTTTGTAATTTAGGGGATTTTTTCTGGGAAAGGATGCAGGATATAGAGGAAAGAATATAATCAGACTGGCTACAAACATATGTCAAGTAGCTGAGTGATCCTGAAAATATGTTATGTTCTCTGAAACTCAGCAGCTTTCTTTACTGTAAAAATCAACAATAGTGGCATACATTTTTAACGTTTTGTAAATTGACACTGCATGTACAATGTTAAGGTTCAAGGAAGACACTGAATATACTTCTGTCAATAAGATGGCAGTAAGTTCTGGGTCTCTAAAAAGAGTCTGGGGAGAGAAGAAAGCCAAAAACACTGGAAAATATTTAAAACGTTACCCTGGGAAAGATAGATTTTGACTGAACCAGGATAACACTCACACCACATAAATTTATCATTGCATCTCTTAGACCAGTTCTCTTAGTATTAATAGAGCTGAGTCAGGGATGTTGGCTGCTAACTGACTTGTGTGGCTTTGGGCAAGTTGCTTAACTTTTGTGCCTCTGTTTACTTACATATAAAATGGGGATAATAATACTTGATACGTTGTGAGAGCGTCATGAAAATGCCTAAGGTCTTCAGATAAAAGGTAGTATATGAGTACCAGAGTAGTTATTATTAGTCTATAAAGTACCCTAGGAACCAGGGATGAAAGAGATTACTGAGGTACAAAGCACTGTGTTTTAATATTATCACTTATTACACCTTTTGTCTTCACCATTCTCAGTATTCCCAAAGACGTGTTTCACAGCCAGACTTTTCATCATTGCACCAAGATATTTAGCTGAGTCAAATGCACCCTGAACTGAGGATGTTTGCTTATCCTCAATCTTTATATATAGAGCTCTGATGAAATAATTCTCAAAGACTGGCCCCTGTTTTCCAATCTCAGCACAATTGACACTTGTGGCTGGACCAGTCTTTGTTCTGAAGTTTACATGTCCATTGTAGAATCTTTAATGGCATCCCTGATTTGTACCTGATAGCAAGAGCATCCCCCACCCTTACTGTAACATTGCCAAATGTCTCCCTGGGGTGATTGAGAACCTCTGAGTTGGCCTAAAATTAGTAATTTTAGTGACACACTTTGCCAATAGTAAGGAAAAATGTGATGATGCTAACAGAACAATTAAAAAGATTTAAGATTTCACAGTGAAACTTACTGTAAATGTCTTAATGTTTTCCAAACAATGGATTAACTATGATGTAAAATACCCCATTTGTGTGTGTTAAAATAATTAATAATATGCTGGAAATAGGCATTTTGACTTCAGTACAAGTATTTCTGTAGTGTATACAATTAATACTGTTCTATTGTTTTGGTACTGGGGATTGAACTCAGGTCCTTGCTCTTGCAAGGAAGGCCACCAAACCGCTGAGCTAAACCCCCAGCCCTATGGACTTTTTAAAGAACAGGTTTTCCTTGTTTTTCAGCTGTCTCCTTTTCTAGCATTTAAAATGTTCCTCTTTGGGCCAGGGATTTAGCTCAGTGGTGCTGTGCCTGCCTTGCAAGTGCAAGGTCCTGAGTGCAAGGTCCTGAGTTCAATCCCTGGTCCCAAAATAATGATAATAATGAAAATAAATAAAATGTGCCTCTTTTTTATAATCATTGGCATATTTTTCTATATATGACTCCCAAATTTGTTCTTCTCAGTGCAGTTTGTCAAACTGGGTAATCTATCAGGTCTGTTTCTCTTTTTCTTAGTTACCTCCTTCCTGAATCTCTCCATCATCTGCTTTAGCCTGGATTTATTTTAAGGCCTGTTGCTCTGTGGTCATCCTGGGATTGTACTTTCCTAACATCTTGTAATCATATTTTATGTAAACCACTTAACTTCCTAAATTCTCTTTTCTCACCCCTTGTGAGATATGTATCTCCAGTATATTTTGGAGATAGTGTAAATAACACCTTGTAGATTTTTGCATATTAAAATGTTTTAACTTATCTTTCTGTTAATTAATAGTTAATTGGAGCATAGGATTCTAGGTTGGAAATCATTTTCCTTCATAATTTGAAAGTATCAATATGTTGTCTTCTAGTTTTCAGAGTGCTGTTGATGGCATTCTGATTCTTTTCTGTTTTCTTCCCAAAAGCTTTTCTGAAATATTCAGAAAAAAAGGCTCTAACTGGAACATTTGTCATGATTATGTTAGCTTTTCAGTAGACCCTTTTAATCTACTATCTGCCCTTTAGTTGAGAAATTTCCTTATCCTGCTTCTATAGTAATTCTTTTTTTCACTTTATCCCTTCTCTCTTTCTAGAACTTGATCCTATTTTCCATCACTTTGGCATCTTACTCCACTTTCATATACATTTCCTCTACTTTGTACCCTTCCTATTGAGTTTTTGTTTCTACCACTATTTTTTGTAAGATCCTTTACTTCTCTGAATGTTTGTTTTCTTTTTCTTTATTTTTTTTCTTTTTGTACTGGGAATCAAACTCAGGACCTTGTGCTTTCAAGGTAGACATGGTGCCACTGAGCTAAATCCCTGGCCTCTGAATGTTGCTTTTCCATAAGTGTCTTGTTCTTCTGTCGTGTATTCATCTTTTCTCCCGCCAAGGAAATTTCTTTAACTCTTCTTCTGCTGATTGATCCTGCACTGTGTTTTTTGTCTGTGGCTACCTTCTTTCTTTTGTTTGTTTTAGGCTTCATCTTTCATGTCAGAGACTGACTTATCAGCCTTCAGTTCACCCGTAATTAAGACTGAAGCGTTGGAAAGCTGATCGGAAGCTCTTCTATGAAAGGGTAGCGCTTGCTGGTGGATGGCTGTCATTCAGGCAGCTAGTATCAGGATGCTGACATTTTGTGAAGGCATGGGTCATATGTCAGCATCTGTGGAGCTTCTCTTTCAGCTGGATCAGTTTCTGTGAGAAAACTCTTTCTATGTTGCTAGTTACTATTTCAGGTACCAAGTAAGGAAAGAAAACATGGGTCATATGTCAGCATCTGTGGAGCTTCTCTTTCAGCTGGATCAGTTTCTGTGAGAAAACTCTATGTTGCTAGTTACTATTTCAGGTACCAAGTAAGGAAAGAAAACGGGTGGAGTATCATTACTCAATATGCAAGTTTTTGCTCAATCCCTGTTCTCTGTATGCTTGGTGTACGTTTATGATTCAGCTTCTGTAGCACTTGAACTTCCAGTCCTCTGCCACAATCAGAGTCAACCTCCTTGCTATTGAGCCCTGCAGAGAGAATGAGAGAACATAAATGTTCCTACGCTGATTTTTCAACTCATCTTTCTGTTTTCACCCCATTTTTTTTCTTTTTTCAGAAGTGTATGCTACTGCTTCCACTACTGAACTATTCTTTGGGGATCTGCAGCACAACAATGGTGACTTCTTATTGACTTTGTCCTCTGTTAGGTTGTTATATTTCATCTTTCTCTGTTTTGCTAAACTATCAGCTTTCCATCTTTTACCTTCCAAAATTGTGTCCTTATTTTCTAGCTTCCTTGTTATTACTGGTTTATCATTTTGCTTTTGTTTTAGTGAATTTACTTACGTGAGTAAAAGTTAAAAATGTGTTAAGCCAGGTACAGTGGCACACACCTATAATGCCAGGACTCTGGGATACTGGGGCAGGAGGATCTCAAGTTTCCAGTCCTAGCATTTTAACAATTTAGGGATATCTTGTTTCAAAATAAATAGATAAATAGGGCTGTGTATGTAACTCAGTGTAAAGGCCCTGGACTCACTCCAGAATCACCAAAAGAAAAAAAAAAGTTTAATCCATCCTATTTAAAATACAAAGTATAAGTCATCTGCCTTGTGATTTCGAAGATACTTTGAAATCTAGTCTGTAATTCAAGATTAGTAGAGACCTCTACATCTTGTTTCCCTTCTCATTGAATTACATCATAAGCCCATACTGATTAACACTGTAAGAAAAGAACTTTACAAAATGTTTTCTCTAGGTTGTTTTTATACATGTGGCCTCATTACATTACATAATGTTCTCATTATTTAAGAAAAAGAAAAACTAGGGAAATTTCTAACATATATGTGACATTTATGTTGCATATAGATGTATTTTTCTTTTCCAACTGTTTTTGTTTTCTCTAACCTGAGCTTTTCTTTAACTATATGTTATGTAGCTAGTAACTTTTCCCTTTTCTAGTTGCCTGTAAGTAATATGAAGCTAGACTTCATCTAATTTGGGAAGACTTGGGTTCGATGGTGCCTGAAGCTTATATAATTTGATGGCCCTTCTTTAAGAAGAATATTTAGAATGAGCAAGAAATTTTTGTAGCTGTAAATTTAACCAAATTGACAAATATCATAAATATTGCAAAACTCTAGAAAAATAAATGTAAATTATGAATGAATTTACTCTGACATTTCTATAGTACTGTTTCATATTTATTGTTGATTTTATTATTTAGGGATGGAAAACATGT